ATTCCCTCCTCTATAGTAGGTGAACCCGGAGCGAGAGCCCAGGGGGGGGTGAACCCGGAGCGAGAGCCCAGGGGGGGGGGTGAACCCGGACCGCTCTCACTCACCCACACAGCCGTAGCTCTCCTGCGGCTCCTGGAAGCCCCGGTCGCACAGGCAGCGGAAGGAGCCGGCGGTGTTCTCGCAGAAGCCGTGGCTGCCGCACAGCGTGCCGTTCGCAGCGCACTCGTCCACATCTGCAAATGAGACAGCACAGACAGCGTCAGGCCGCGGACCCCGAGCGCGCGCCCCGGAGCCCAGACAGAGCTCCCGCCGGACGAGGTCCCTCTATTGATCCCTCTCCCTCAGCTTGTTCTCTTCCCCTCAAACACAAGGGGACCTGCACCTCCCCCTTGAAGTGAAAGTACCACTGATCCTTTTGTTTGATCATGTATTCTTTCCTGCTGTTCAGGAGGAGCCGTCTCCGGCTCCGGCTCGCTCCTCTTCCTCTTCATGCGGTCTCCAGCTCGCTCGTCTTCCTCTCCAGTCTCCGGCTCGCTCCTCTTCCTCTTCACGCGGTCTCCGGCTCGCTCCTCTTCCTCTCCGGACTCCGGCTCGCTCCTCTTCCTCTCCGGTCTCCGGCTCGCTCCTCTTCCTCTCCGGTCTCTGGCTCGCTCCTCTTCCTCTCCGGTCTCTGGCTCGCTCCTCTTCCTCTTCAGTCTCCGGCTCGCTCCTCTTATTCTCCAGTCTCTGGCTCACTCCACTCCCCCACTTCAGCAGCTTCTCTCCCTCTCGAGTGTGTCTGAGGACACTCCTGTATTTCAACACAGGCCTGATGCTTTTCAGCCGTGAGCTGGCTTTGTCTTCAAGGGCCTTCAGCATGACTCCTCCTTTTCTGTGTCCGTCTATGGCAGAGCCCCATCCTGCTCTTGGTCTCTTCACGTTTAAAGGAGTGAATAAATTTGAACTGAGATTTTTCGGGTTGAGCTTAGAGAAGGCACTGAGGTTCAAAAGGGGCACTTGAGTTAAATATATAACACATAAAATGCATTTTTGCTAAACAGATTCCTTTGGTCTAATATGTTTACAGATTATGCTAGTTGCCACCTCTCATCGTGCAATGATGACCTGGAATAAATGTGTTACTTTATGTTACAAGACAACATTTCAAGATTGTACTGTGTGAGCAATTGAAGCTTATCATTTACATCCTGAGTATTCTATATTGTATTCAAATCTAAATTTTCCATTAGCATCCCACAATGTCTGTGCAAAACTGATTCACATAAAGCAGAATGAAAGCTGACATTTTGATCTCAGCTACAGTGCAAGCAGTGCAAGCAGAGCTCTGTCTCTTAATATAGCTCATTGCGGTATTGAGTTTCCATGACAAAGGAAAAGAATTCTGTGAAGCGAACATGCCCTGCATGAGGGGAGAGGACAAATCTATAAACCGCACATAGCACGCAAACAATGCAGTGTGTGAAGAACAAGTAACACACATGTAAGCAGCTCTTGATATAACACAGCAGTACAGCTGACAGATTAAGTCTAACGATGTCACGGAGCAATAAAACAGCCACTGATATGCTACGAGAAAGCAGTAGTCTCTTCATAGACATTTCGATGAACGAGACTCAAAAAATGACTTTTGGTACCAAAGGGTGTACTGCAGGTGGATAGAGTAACATGGGCAGAACTACTAACAGGTGCCCTACAGACACACAATTACACTGTATTGACAGATGTCTATAGACAGTACATTACAGACACTGCCCTTTCATGAAGGTTCAAAGGAATACCATGAGAGCGTGTTGTTAGAAACTTGGTGAGACACCTGAGCTTCATTAGGACACAGGCAGCTGGTTATGTTTGAATGCAGGAGTAAAACTAGGCAAAGACTTCCTTAGCATCTGGTGAATTTTAAAGAGCAGCATTTCATGGTTTTAATCTTGGTTTTAGAGGTAGTAACAACAGCTTTCCGCTTTTCTCTTTTTATGTTTAGTATCATACTGCTGATACTGTATATTTCTGTCTAAAAATCTTAAAAGGCTTAAAAAACGTTTAGGCGGTCTTACCCTGTCTAATTTTCCCACCACCAAACCACCATGTAAAACCACTACAAGAGCTGTGCTCGGACACGGTGCAACCAACAGCATAGTTATCACTGATGGAACCTCATTCCACCATGTGACGCACATGTGCACGCTCACCCATCACTGCACACAACGCTAGTTGCATGTGGCCATGAAGACCTTAGACTAATGTGCAAAATGAGGATGAGGTGAGGCTGTAAGCTGGCAACGCAACAGCAGCAGTGCCACAATGCAGGCGAGGAATAGGAGAGCTCCAGCAGTCAGCCTGAGCGACTCACCGACACAGATCCCACTGGGCTCTTCAGTGTAGCCTGGAGGACAGTCCACGAGGCACCTGTACGAGCCCTGGGAATTCTCACAGCGCCACGTCCCACAGACACCGCTGTCTTCCTCACACTCATCAATATCTGTTTGAGATCAATTCAGTCACTTCTCAGATCAGAAAAGCAGAGAAAAACTGCAAATAACAAAGAGGAATGACACTGCTGTTTGAGAGGTTATGATCTGACCCAGGGACCTTCACTTAAAATCTGAATCTTCAAACTGCGGGTTTGTCTGTACTGCTAGGACGGGAAGGAGACGAGGCTCCTTAATGAAAATAACTTGGACTCTTCAATTGTGATATTAAAAAGCAAAGTGTTCCACACAGCTAGGAAGGTCCATAAGGATAATACTAAAGTATTGCATTCAATGAGTCTAAAAGCTCTTCCTTGCTTTCAGATTCACAAATGCTTCAAATATTGACCAACAGCTTGCTGTTTCACAGTTGATCTCCTTACTAAGTATGACCTTATGAAATATCATGAAATATCAAAGGCTTAGATTCCCTAGTCTTGGGTCTAACAGGGTATACGTTCGGCTGGGGGCAAGAGACTTGAAGCAGATTGCTTACTGCTTCCCAGGGGAGTAAAAGTTTTTCGTCACACCAGGGAGAAACCACTGGGCCACCAAAGAGCAGACGCACATGAATTTGTCATGTCCTAACTGCGCCTTCTGAGGACCACAGAGGAACACACATAAACAAAACATGAAGGTCATTCATTACAGGCGACATCACCACAGGGGAAATCCCCACTCAAACGAAGCACTGACAATCTACAGGCTACTAACTAGGAACATGAGTTTACCAAGGCAAGTCTCATTGGCAGCATGTAGGCGATAGCCTGCAGAGCATTCGCATCTATAGGAGCCCTCCGTGTTGGCACAGAAACCAAAATGGCATTTGGTACCATCTGAACATTCATCCACATCTGGAAGAAACACACAGTACCTGTCTGAGTTAAAGAACACACTGGACAAGACGATCACATACAGTAACAGCAGTCCAAGGTTAGCAGACAAGGACGCCCAAAAACATTGTTCTAAGCCAAACTCAGTGAAAAGAACAATCACATGGCTGTCTTGGGACAATAAAGGACAATGAAAGCGTGCATCGGCCCAGATTACGGACTGCCTCTGGTCTGAAGCAGGAAAAAAAACTCCAGGAGACAGAGAAAACAAAAACGAGTTTACAACAGGCAAACTGGGCTGGCATGTGTTCATTTCTTTCAAGTAATGTCAGTATTCGAATTCTGTTATAATAAAATAAGTAATAAAAGCACATAAAACATCAGCACCAGACTTGTCAGACAGCCATGTGGCTGTGGGATGAAGCTAATCCAAGCCAGCTGTCTGCTGACCCTGCACTGCAGACTCCCACTCCTTATCCACAAAATCACAATCTTTACTTTCTGTACCTTAAGTCAGGTTTTTAAGTCCACACTTCAATTTCTTCACCATCAATTTTGAAACAACAGTTCGGTACACTGAACATGTTGGAACATGAATGTTCCAAGAGGAACATCTGGATTCGTACCTATGCTCTTACGATGCTGTCTTTAACAAAGGTGTGTTGTCTCATTCAAATCACATCACCTCCTGGAGGGTAGAAGATTTGCCATTTCTTGCCCAAAGGGAATTGTTCCACCTACTGGTCCTCAAAAAACAACCAGATTTTCACTGGAGGTCTCTCATCCTAGAGAGCACAGCACAGCTCCGCTTCTAAGATCGAACTCTGTGATGGTACAACTAACATCACTTTATTAACACTTTACAATTTCTTGCATTAGGAATTATCTTTTCGCATACCCCAGCTTGCTCTCCATGAGACACACAGACAGGGAGAGAAGCTTGAGGTCAGAGCGCAGGGTCTGCCATTGTACGGCGCCCCTGGAGCAGACCTAAAGATTCCAGAGGGCAAGTCAATCTTCGAAGGCTCCAGCCATGCAAGTTACACAGGTACTTTTCAATAAGTAACTGATCAAAAACTAAAAGAAAACAGGTAATGTGTCTTTTAAAAGAAAACCTTTGTCGCGTGCAGGCTGAGCTCTGAGCTGGGCATTGTGGGTTCAAGCCTGGGTTACGTCGCTAGCCAATCATGACTGGGATTCCCTAAGCGGCAGAACATGATTGGCTGAGTTATGCCAATGGTGGACGGGACTGGTCAGTCAGGGCTCTCTTGTCTCCTAGCAACCCAGCGACCCCTGAGGCCTTCTGCTGTTACAGGGCCAGAGGGGCCTGAGAACCATGGCCAACTAATCCCACCCAGCCCCTGGCAGAGTTCAGAGTTCAGCGTTCAGCGTTCAGCATTCAGCGTTCAGCGTTCAGCGTTCAGCGTTCAGCGTTCAGCGTTCAGCGTTCAGCCTATCGGCACTGAACCTCCAGGGGCTGTGCTGACGTGTTAAAACGCAGGTTAGTGGTGTCTGCCTCCGCTTCCTCATTTTCCTGTGTTGTGTGGTTGCAGAGTGTGGAGCCGCAAGTCAAAATGTGGACAACTCACAATTACTGGTTCTGAATCGGGGATGGCGTATAAGCAAAAAAGAGATTAAAAAAATCAGAGATTGAATGAAACCTAGAGGACTAGACTGGAGCCCTTCCTTCCTGCTGTAAGGTTGCAAACAGTTTTCCTTCTGCTGTTGACCATTAGATTTTTTGCTGCTTGACAAACAGCAGGTACAAACTGGCAGTGTAGAACAGGACAGTCGAGCACAGCAGAATAAATACCATTGCAAGGCAATATTTCAGCAAGCCTGCAATCTGGCCCGAACATCCAATTTCAATTCCATTGTTTTTCTGCTTCTTGACATGTTTTGCTAGACTGCTCTTAAAACCTGGTGTAAGACTTTTATTTTCAGCAATAAATAAGGGCATTCTTTTCTTTTATGAGGAACCAAAAGAAAGAAAAAAACTAGCCAATTTATTAAAATGCACTAAAGAGAGAGGAATGCCTTTTGAAAATAATCTGCCCACATCTCTCCCTTTTCAAAGGAGATTATTTTTTCAGCCAATACTGGGTATAGTAATATTACCTAACCGGTGTTTATCGGTTAACCAGAGAGTTAAAAAGCTTAAATATTCATTGTGAACATTAACGTATGTGGAAACATTTCTGAGTTGTACTGATTTCCAAATTAGACACTTTCCTTAGTGTGGCCGAGAGCCACACTAACGTTTTGTACTACAGACAAAAGGTTTTGTCTGTTGCACACCACAGTAATGTAAAACACTGCTAACACACAATCCCTTCTGCACAGGCAGGTCTGGTTCTGAAGATACAAACGCATGTATAACACACAAAGAAAAGATCATAATCTCAAGACTGGGAAGCAAAAATGATAACATGAGCTTAATAATAATGCCTGGTCAGAGGAGGTTGGAATTTACCTCCTAGCTGGACAAAACTCTTAAGAGGGGTAAAATATTCACCTGAGGAATAGTACCTTTAAGCCCTTCTTTAAGGCTACAATGATTAGCATTTCTTGCAAAAAGGCTTTCCACAGGCCTGTCTGGCCTGTCTAGAGGCACAGTCAAGCAGCAGGAGCTGAGCGAGGGGCCTTTCCTCTCGCTTCATCGCAGTGGGTTCCAAGGCAGCTTGCGAGCTGCAGTTCTGGAGTCCAAAGCAAACAAAGTCGGGGCCAGGCCCTGAGGTGCTGTACAGGCCGGGCTGGAGCGAGGCAGAGCGATCCACAGCAGGCAAAGGCAGGGCGACGCTGTGCGCGCCTCGCCAACCTGCCCCTCCCCTCCCCTCCAGTCTTTTCTCTTCCCTCTCGAAAACGATTTTCCGTCGCAGGGAGCAGAACCAGGGCGCAGCCCTGCACTCTCGTCTCCCCCCTGAACTGAGCGGCCAGAATGAGCTCAGTCAAAGACCTTGACTTACGACCACCTCGTTGATCTAAGGAAATTTACGTTCAAACTAAAATAAGGAAAAGAAATTAATAGAACATGTGGTGCTAGCAGTCAAAGTGTATTTTACAGGAAAAAGGAGGCAGTAGATTTGGCTTTCAGAAGAGCTGTAAGTTTGCGTTCGTGCCCTTGTTTTGTTCTCCTCCTGACTCATTAGCAGTGACCTCTTGTGCTGATCCTCAGCTCCCGCTCTCGCGACCAGCCCTGCGCAAAGTATTTCTCCTTGTCTAGACAGCCAGCTCAATGGCCCCTTCTTTTTATTTTTACTGCAGGAAAAGGCATTTAAAACAACTCTGGCGATGGGAAAGCCTTTTGGCAAAGGACTGCTGGTGGAAAATAGCAGCAACACATGTAAAACTAATTAAACACCACTTTCCAGAGGCAACGAGGCATCTTCTGAGGGTGGGAAAATATACAAGGAGTATCACAAGATGAGATAAGACAAGCCCTTGATCCAGCAAGCCACCTGTAGCTACAGCTGAGATTCTTTTTCTGCAGCTTGTCAGCAGTCACGCGAGCCACTTCTGTTTATCTGGACCACAGGAACATTAAACACTTCTAAACCAGACCTCCTTTGGCAGGAACAGTTCAGAAGAAACAATCACGCTAACTACAGCCTCTCTGTGCAAATGAAGCATCTCCGGTACAGACAGGTGAAAGGGAGTCAATTTACAGTATCTTGACACCCGTTCATTTTATTTCGGCTGATGCTTAAATTTCCATCTGCTATCAGCCTTGCTTTGTCTTGTTTCATTTCACCTGTAATTCTCATGCTTTTGGGAAATTCTTTCAGTCTGTTGATAAATTGCCAAATAGTCAAATGATGAGTAATCCAAATTTTTTTTCAGGTAGCCAGCAGCATGACCCTGACTACTGTTCCTGAATTTGATCTATTAATCCTATGCCCTTGGAAGATTTCCTAAGAGATCACAGATTTTGTTTTCCTTGAAATTCCTGAGCTCTAGCAGCCAGTTAAAAAAAACAAACAAATCAGAAATAAGTTGCTAGCCAAATCCACTCACAACCTCCATGTGGCTCAGTCCTTCTATATAATGTTTTTTGTAATAATCCAGAACAAGAGACAAAAACGTAAAAAAACAGTTCTGTGGCTGTAGCAGGTGTTGTAATTCTCTGCTGTTGACAGTGCTTTTGCATATCCAATAAACCTGACAATAGTGTATACACAGAACAATTTAAAGATCGTGAAATGACAATGGGGAAAAACAGAACCAATAGAATTCACTCTATGACTGTATGATGTATACAGTATGATGTATGATTAAAGACTGTGTGTCAGTGAGAAATGTCAATATCACTATTGCCACAACTGATATCTTCATTGCACATTAACATTTGATCAGCTGAGAGCCACAAACAATTAATCAAGAATTGATTAATGGAATCCAGAAGTCAAATAAATAAGCACAGCTAACCAAATGCCCACACGATGTAAATGAGCGCTCGGACTGCAGGCTGCTTACCTTCACAGGAGTGTGAATCCTCAGCTGCAGCAAACCCCCGCTCACAGATGCAGTGGAAGGATCCCTGAGTGTTGAAGCACTCCCCATAGGGGCCACACAGCTCGGAGTCGTCCAGGCACTCGTCGACATCTGAGAAAACAGCCGGAGGGGACAGAGGGTCAGCAGTATGGCGCAGCCAGCTGGCACAGGGACAGCCACAAGCGTGCAGGTTTTGTGGGTCAGTGATCAGGCTTCAACTAATCTGTTCCAATCGAACAAACAGTCCAATGAAGTCATGAAGAGATGAGCTGGAACAAAATGATCTGGAAATTGTCACTAGGGTGGCAAATAGCATCCTCACTAGTGAAAACAGCACCTGCAATGGTGAAAACAGGAAGGATTGATTTATTGGATGACCCTGAGCAATAATGCATTGGAAAGATGCATCATTGCTATTGGCAATACAATGTATGGGAAATGGTTGCACAGAAAACAGCAGAGACCTAAGCTTCTGAGATCCTGCTGCTAATTTAATTACGACAGTGCACAGGTCATCTTTAAACAATCATGCTGATCTGGTGATGCTGTTGTTCCATTGCTTGTACTACAACATCACCGCACTGCAGAAATAACCACAGGCCACAAGCTGACACATTGGGACTTGTGTTTGTTTCAGTTTATACACGGAACATTAGGCAGACAGTATATCAACAAAAGCAATGACCTTTTCCAGCAAAGATAAACTGGGAGAAATTACTGATGTCATTTGTGCTTTGCATTGCAGTAAAGGACTTTTTAAACTAATTTTCTGTCTATAGGTATGACAAAATGTAGGCATTTGCAATGTAAGAGTTTAAGACAGACAAGGTCCTATAGATTCTGGGGGAGACACTTATGAATGAAACATTTATTATGCAAGTGGAATTTACCTTGACACCTAGTGCTGTTGACCACTTGGAAGCCATCTGGGCATGTGCACTGGTATGATCCCATGCTATTAATGCACTGGCCAACTTCTCCACAGGCCTCCCTGAACTCCTGGCACTCATCCACATCTGAAACCATAAAGCAAAACCACTTCACACTCCACACATTTGGACACTGACTCTGGAGCTGCAGATGAGACCGAGTGTCTAAACTAAAGACGCTGAGCATGAACTCAAGAAAATCATCAGCACCTGTCATACCATTATGCTTATGCTTGCTAACGTGCTAAGGTCTGATACAGTAGCATACTGTACCTACCAAGTGTGGTATGACTGCACAGATAAACGTGGCTTGCCTTCACAGTGGTATCTAGGTAGAGTGAGATGTGGAAGCACTCATATGTTATTGGCCCTGTAAAGCCCAGAGAAGCCCTGCAGGTGTGTGACCTGGTTTCAGGTGAAGCCACTGAAGAATCTTTCTTCCATCCCCATAAGGGGTTAAGAGTTTCTTACCTTCACACTGGTCACCAGCAGGTGAAATCCTGAACCCAGAGCCACAGGTGCAGATGAACGTTCCCTCTGTATTCCTACAATGCCCCCTGGCACAGACTTCCTCATCCTGACATTCATCAACATCTGGGAGCAGAAGAGATTATGGTCCAGACATTGCAGAGGGCACCATTACCCTGTTCATCATGGAAACTGCTCAGCTCTTAAGATACTGCACAACTAATTTTGAGACCGACGAGGCCCTGATTCAGCAGTAAGCTTTAGTAAGATCTGAGAATCGTTCCCTCTCCTCTGCCAGCGTCCTCCTGGTCAGCTTCCAAGTGAGGGCTGAACTAGGGTGTGCCCCCACTGTGCTGAAGAATAATGTCTAGCAGCTTGTCTCCAGACACCAGATGCTTACATTATAAAAATGTTACTCATTTCAACGTCATCTTTAAAAAACGTAATAGCTGGGTTTTTTTCCATTTACTGCATGTTAGTAATTGTCATTTGCAACTTCTCTTTAGATTTAAACAAACAGAAGTTAAAACCTAGCAGTTTTTGTGGATCATAATGCTCTTTTCTATATCAATCCGGCTCCTACCTCACTTCCAGTGTTCACAAGTGTCCTTATTCCTTTCCCAGCTGGCACCTGAGACTTTATTTCACAAGCACTTTTAAATACTGAGTTTTACTGGAAGTTGTAAACATAAAAAAGAGGAAATTACCTGTGCAAAATTTGCCATTTCGACTCAACTCATATCCTTTATTGCATCTGCAAATGTAGGATCCTTCAAGGTTGGAACACTTGCCATTGACACACAGTGACTTGTTCAGACACTCATTGATGTCTAGGTGAGGGGAAGAACAGGAAGAGAAACGCTGGTATGAGCTATGAGATACCTACTGTATGTTTAACCAAAGGAATTTGACACTGATCATACATAATGAACTTCACAAACAAAAAGGCAGCTTTTCACAATTTGGAAATATTTCCCCCCCGAGAAATTCTATACGTTGACTTTTCATTCCACCATCTGTAAGGACTGTGGGTCGGTGCTCAGGAATGTTGTCTGGATTAACTCCTGCACTCACATTCCTCAGTTCTTCATGGTCTTTATTTTTTCATCCATCACTAAACTACTGTACTATCCAGTTCTGTCTCATAAGAACACTGAAAAATCTGCTGCAAAGGCCACTTATTTCAAAAGGAAAATGGCAAGGGCTGGCTTTCTGGATGAATATCCAACTGACACGGAGATATTTACAGTAGTAAAGTTACAAGGTGATTGCATAAATAAGTGGTCTGTGCAGAACTGCATGCTTTTATTTTTCAAAAAAAAATGTGGATGCCAGTCAAGAATTCTGAATCTCGTAATTCCTGGTGCCTGTTTACTTTGGGTTTTTTTTTTTACTTGCTAGCTTGATCTTTTGCAATGAATGATGTGTTTTCAGTTATACAGTATGTTGCAGGAACTAAAGTACTTAAGTATGAAGCCCTTTCCAAACACCAAAGAGCTCTTGCTATGCAATATCTTGGTATTTCATTTCATTACACTCCATTCACTTGGAATTTTTAATATACTTCTTATTGTCTGCAAAATGAAACAAACTAATCGATATTCACTGCTATTTGGATAGTCCTTCACTGGTATTGGCATCTCTAGGACACTGCAGCTCATGGTGGGAGTTGGACTGGGTGGCCTGTTAAATCGATAGTTAACACCCCAGAAAACAACTAGGATGCAGATACAAATGCAGCACTTGCTCATGGCTCAATAAATCCCTCCTTACTCCGAGCGTGTGTGTGTTTTCTGTCAGGAAGACAGTGAATGATCTATACTGTCTGAAAGACTATACAGGGATGTGGGACGGAGGGTGAATCTGGGGAGCTGAGAGAAGGAAACTCAAAGAGGCGTCTGTGTGATGAAAGGCCAGCGCCTGTCTGCTAACGAGCCTCTGCAGCCCGCACTCTGCCCACGAGTCTCCTCCGCAGAGCCACAGCAGGCAGACCTCCTCAGGGGGGACAGAAGGCAGCAGAGCTCTAACAATGCACAAACAACGATGTCTAGACATCAAGCATGTAAAGCTGAAGGGCGCTGTGTCCGTCTGACTTTCTGAGGTTTTGAATAATGCAAACACGAGCGCTGGCAGAGTCTTACTCTCCAACAGCTGGGAAGCGGAAGAAACACTGTTACAGGGGGATTAATCCAAGACCGTCCATGTCAACAACTATCCATATATCTGTATGGACAAAGACATCTGTAACACTATGCTAGTCCTAATGATGTCTTTGGTCATGATTACTGTAGAAAAAATGACATAGTATACTGTATATAGTACATAAATAATGATATATTTTGTATAGTTTGTATTTGTCGTATTTATATTGGTCATTTCCCTTACGTTGTTGATTTCCGTTTTTATGTTGAGTTGTTTTTTTGTATAAAGTTGTTTTTTTGTTTCTAATTGGACGGCTCTTGCTCATTGCAAGGTTTGTTAGCTTAGTGTGGTATGTTAAATTACTTTTTAAGGGGGACTCATTTCTGTTTGCGATACCTAATGTCAGCACACTTCTCAACTCTCTGTATGCCCTCTTTCAACACACCCACTGATGATGCCTGTGTGCAGCACTGTGGCTTGAAGACTTAGCACTGACTGACAGTGTCCTCTGATTGGAGAATGACCCGTTTCTCACCAGTGGCACTGCAAGCACACTGCCCCCAGGGGGAGCTGTTGCATAAACCACCAAAGAAACCATTGCTGATACTAGGAAAGCCAGCTCCAGCTGTGTTTGGATGCCGCACAGCTGCATGGAGACTCCTGACCACAGCAGTCTACTGAAAGACTCATCTGCCTGGTCAGTACCGGGATGTGAGACCTCCTGGGAAAAACTAAGGTTGCTTCTGGAAGAGGAGTTAGTGGGGCCGGCAGGGGGCGCTCACCCTGTGGTCTGTGTGGGTCGTAATGCTCCAGTATAGCGATGGGGACACTATATTGTAAAAAGGCGCTGTCCTTCAGATGTAAAACACAAGGTACTGACTCTCTGTTGTCATTAAAAATCCCAGGGCTTTTCTTGAAAAGAGGATGTTACCCCAGTGTCCTGGCCAAATTTCCCCCTGGCCTTTACCAATCATGGCCTCCTAATAATCCCTATTTATGAACTGGCTCCATTAATCTGTTCTCCTCCCCACTAATAAGGAATTCTTTATTCTTATTCTTATTCTTATTAAGAGGCTTTAAATATGATTTTTTTTTTATAAGACACAGCTCTCCCTCTCTGATCTGTCTGGGAGAGAGAATTACCGGCAGTCTTGCTCTCCAACACTTCCCACTCGCTGGGTCATTCATCACCCGGCAGGTGACAAGCTCCACAGAGCCCAACAGGAGAGTAAATGCTGACTGGAGGAGCTCAGCGTCTCGCAGTGATGTCACTGCCAGCCTGCCGGCACCTGGTAAGTTGCAAGAATCTGCTGGAAAGCAGAGAGACCCCTGGCAGAGCCTGGCTGTACTCTGCAATTGTACTCAAGAGTTGTACCCACAACAGCCCAAAAGCTTTTATTTCTCCTCAGCGCAGATTTATGTTTCATTGGCTTCACAGTGCATGTTGCTGCTGTCAAGTAAAGATGCACTTAATTACTTAAGTGGTTTAATTACTTAGGAGGAATGTGCAAATAAAGCTCTGCCTTTTTAGGAATTGGCAATAGGACTCAGAATTCCTCTTCTCTGAGCTCTATCCCAGCGGGCATTTTTTAATAGCAGGCCAGAAAAAAGACCCTCTAAGTATCTGCTTTTTGTTGAGGAATAGCACAACCGGGGAGCACAAACAAGACAGAGCGAGAAGGTGCCAGAGTCAACATAGTATGTGGGACAGAGCAGAAATTCAGTTCCAAAAACCCAGACAGCCACACATTTGGTCAAATATATCCCATGTATTTGCAGAGCCCCGTAAACACTAAACTGGAAATAAAGTGCGATAAATTGCATAGTTAAAGTCACTCTGAAGATATATTACAAGAGTAAAACTAGAAAAGTAAAATTCTTCACTTTATTCCAGCTGTTGGAAAATCTTTGCCATTTGACTGAGGTTATAACCAGAATCCTGTGCCCTGTCTGGCGATTTTGTTTCTGCAGAGCTGCTGTGCCAATAAAACTATCAAGACTGACAGAGTAAATCACAGCGGTTCACTCATTCGTCTCCTTGTTAAATCTGACATCTGGGACGCCAGCCCTGGAAGGAGCAGTGAGATGCCGTGACAAGATGATTCTGATTGATTTCCTTCCTCTGCATTCAAGCGCTTTCTTTTGCATTACATTATTTTTAATTCAATTATATGAAAATGCTTTATGTTCTTTTCTAACTCCTAAAAAAGTCCAGCTAATTTTCCAATGTTCTCATTAAGTGACAAAATGCATTAATTACTAACTACCCGGTGAGCAAGACGGGATGAAGGGAGTCCTCTCATTGCTCACCTCTGCCTCTAACTCTCTGCCTCGTCTACTTCCACGGGCTGAGGGATCTAACTGCGCGGATGGAGCAGACAGCTGTGGAAAAGCATCGCCTTTGCTACGTACCCACACACTGCTCGCCCCGGCCCTCGTGACCGTCAGGACACGGGACGCACTCGTAAGACCCGGGAGTGTTGAGACAGCGCCCCGCGGGACAGATCCTCGCATCCAGGCATTCATTGATGTCTGCAAGAGCGAAACGTTCCCATTACAGTCAGGAAACCCCCCCCCGAATGCCCTAGCTATAGCAATAGCAGAGGTGGCCTCCAGGTCCCCACGGATGTGTTACTTCTCCGCACAGGAGTGATGCCACACAGTGGAGCAGCCACACATCTCTCGTTAACGTCACTGCAGGCACCAGGGAATTTGCAGGAGTTGTGGATGTGCTGAAGGGAACGCTAATCCTCACCCCTCCCCAGAAGGGCTCTATTTATTTTGTGTCCCCAGAAGGGGAATCCTGGTCACAGTGAGCTACTGTCCTGATCCATGGTTCAAGCCCACTACATCTGTGCTGTAGAGCTCAATTGGAGCTGTGATGGAGTGCCTCCATATATGGTCACGGTGCTTATAACTGTACTGTATACGCTTACTGTTGAATCACATGGGAACCCCGAATGTTTATTTAAAAAAAAAAGATCCGACTCCATCTCTCCATCTCACAGCAGGCTCTAGTCAAGTTCTTCCTTTGACGTTAAATCTTCAAAGATTCAGTGTACTCTTCTGAGAGGCCCCGAGCAAATACTCTGTCTCATGCTCACCACAAATGTGTTAATTTGGTATAATGATAACTAATCACATTTGATTTGTTGAGATTGTTTGCATCTATTTTTACAGGGGCAGAAAATGAATTTCTACTAACTGTAAACCCAGACTTGGGTCTTTTTTGCAAGAAGTTTAAAATTGTGTGACTCTGGAAATGTGCTGGACAATGTGGCCAGGGAACTGTTTATTCAGTACAGCACCCACCAGACATCATGTAGCCTTCCAGATACTGTGAGATCTTACTACAGGGTCTGGTGGCTGCAAGCCAAATCCTTCTAACATTTTTGAAATCTTGTTCTAAAGAGAACTTTAAACACACTGTATGTCAAAGGTTCCAGCCTTTATGGGCCGGCTGTTGACAATTCTGCTTTTAATGGCACCTGAAACTGAACAAGTATTTTTAACTACCACATTAATAGCAGCCTATAAAAATAGCTCCAGAATCTCACACAGCAGAACTCATTCCCCTTTACCGTGACCAGTGCTCGGGTGTTTGATTGCCTCCACCGCGTTTCTCTGGACAACTGATGGTGTTGCAATCCGCCTATCACTCAGTCAAGTAACCTATAGTATCAGTGTCGTCTCTGATCCACCCAAATTTTAGCTTGTGGCTCTCTCATTTGTTGGACGTCGTTTATCACTCTGAATCAAACATTTTGTTTCTGATTTTCTCTTTTTAGTGTGAATCGCCTTGAGGTGTTGTAATGAAAGGCACAATGCTATTTTAAAACAAAGATGACCTACCTCCACATTCCCCTCTTCTGTTCATCTTGTAGCCCCTCTCGCAGTGTCGACATGTGAACGAACCCTCCGTGTTGATGCAGTAACCATCCTGGCACACATTGGGAATCAAACATTCGTCTATATCTGAGAAAGAGACAACACAAAGGTCAGGCCCTGTCCTCTCTAGCCCTGCTCTGCTGATTCAGCTGTATTTTAGGTTGCATCACTTTCATCTTTTAACAGAGGAGCACCACTTTCACAGAAGCTGCAATGACTTAAAATCAACAGTAAATTCAGCACTGGTTCAGGATAAGCCATTAAAAAATCATAACTTTCTACACATGGCATCCCAATTAAAATGCTCATGGAAGGCATTGGGCACAGTATAAGGAAGGCATTTTTAATTATCTTTAGATGCAAAGCTTGCAAATTACTAAGGATAGGAACATCCTTGGAATCCCCATTAATCTAAATCACTCTCATAGCTGGTTTATTTTTTTGCTTTTGGAAAATAACAGCAATCTGAACAATTAACAGACTTCCAAGCAATCAGCCTTTGGAAAAAGGATGTAAATACTGTTCACACTGTGATGGTGGAGATAGAGCAAAAAACCTCTTAAATTAATCAACAAACGTCAAATTAATAGCCCCCACAAAGCTCTTCCATCTCGTGTGTGTCTCAGATTAATGACAAGGGTGGAGACAAGAGGAAATGAGGCCTTAGCTACAGCTTAGAGAGAGGGGTTTCCTGACTCCTGACTTTAGTTTCCACAAAACCCTCAATAAACCCAATAAAATATTGCCCTAGGTGGGAAAGGTACAAGACAAGACTGTTACAGTGATATTCAAAGAATCGTTGTTTTTAATAATAATGACTTGTATCTGTATGAGCTGTGTCTGACAGCATCATGTGCAACTATTCAGTACTCCTAGGTTTGTGGGAAAATACGTAGTGCTTTTTTAAAATGTTCTAATATAAACATATAAAAGGTTTTTTTATTTTTGAAACACTGATCACATCATGTTCAGACAGCAGGTCACCCCAGGCTGAACTAGGTCTTGGGAACTCGTCAGCTTTTCCATACAAAGATGTTTAGTTGTATTCTTCAAAGTCAGATTTCTTAAGTGGAAAAAAACTCACCATAAAAATGCCCAACTGGGTGACTGCTGCTTAGTACCTCTCCAAATAAACAGCTGAGTCTTACACAAAGATAACTGACATTCCCAACGTACTGTATCTCATAATGGGGAAGCACGTGGCGATCTACTCTTTGCAGGCTGCAAAGGTACAGTACAAGTAAAGGTTTATTCCATGCGGAAAAGAAAAGGGACACAACATTTCGGCTGTGGAGCCTTCTTCAGGTGTGAGTGAGAGAGATCTCCAAACCCAGTTTCCCATTTCACCTCTAACAGCCATAATCCTATTGATCTCTCCGTCTACGTCCTCACAGAGGGGTTTCTGAACTCCGATTGCAGAAAGACATCCGAAACCAAAATTATCCTGAAAATAGGATCACACCTTCCCCCTTCTCTCAACGACAGACTCGTTTCCATCTAATCTTCTCTATTCATTTGCAGGCTTTGACTTCACACCTCTGTTCACCTCTCTCGACTTCGCACCACCTGGCTGTGGATGCTGCTTCTCCCCTGCTCCCACCTGGTCTTGCTCTCCCCTGCGTTAGCTGCTGCCGGTGTTCCTCTCTCCCCCACACCTGAAGAAGGCTCCACAGCCGAAACGTTGTGTCTCTTTCCTTTTCAGCAGGGAATAAACCTTTACCTGTTCTTCATATTCAGAGACAGCCTGGCCATGATCAGTGCTTCGCTGTTCTTGTGGGGGTGAGACAACCGTACCAGTGCACTCTGTCCCTTCTTCGTTCAGGAGGAATCCCAGTTGGCACACACACATGTAGCTCCCTTCCGTGTTCTCACAGCGGCCATTGTAACAGACGTACAAGCCCTCCACGCATTCGTTAACATCTGGTTAGACAGACGCGGACAATGAAAACAGTCAGTTATTTGCAGGAAAGGAAGCAGCAGGCTTCTGAAAAAGCAAAAGGCTTGTTTTTTTTTTGCAGAAGCACAACAACTTGTGAAAATACCACCGCAAAAGAGAGGGGCTGTCGTGTCGTTATCAAAACCCCGTCTGCCTCAGCTTGCTGGCCAAATAAAGGCTTGCCCTATCATGTACTGTAGGGTATTATTGCAAGTCCAGCCCAGTTCCCCTTACATGTTCAAGATTTCCATTACTGATAACTCTGTGGACATCAAGCCTTTTGAGTGCTCATATCTGGATGGCAACCAGAGAAAAGCGTGAGATCAATTCTTTCTTCAAAAAGAACATTTTTATATTCTGCCTCCTTTGGTTTGAATCATTGTGTTTCAGGATATAGTTTGCTTTTCAGTTACTCTAACATTATCTGGATGTGCCCCAGCATCTTTCGGGACCCTGGGCGGGGTGGGAGCATTAAAACTTGGGATATATCATAAAACAAGAAACAGGACCTTTCTTCTCTGTAGTGTAGTTTATTTCACTACAGATGTCTGAAAGGTGTTTTTTTTTTGTGTGCTTGTGGTCACTGCACTCCTCAGAAGACAGGTGTTCCTGGTGAAACAGAGTCCGGCAGCTTTGTCTCACCTACACAGGTCGTATTCTCTTCATTCAGCTGAAAGCCATCATCACACACGCAGGAGTAGCCCTCGGGCTGGTTGGTACAGAACCCAGGTCCGCAGATCATAGGGTTCACTGAGCACTCGTCCACTTCTGCAGGAGCACGCAGAAAAGGCAAAGCAGACTGATGTCGTTTAATCAGCCTTGATACAAAGGAACTGTAGAGAGGCCACCGGGTTCAAAGGTATCACCTCCTCTCATAACTGTTAGATATGTGTCAATGAATTGAATTATTTAAATTCAATAGCCTAGGTTATAAATGAGAAAGTAATTCCTTTTACATTTTCAGGTATATTTTACATTTTTTCATGTTTTTGTGCAAAAAAGTCTTTAGCACAAAATAGGTACAAATGCTCTTGTTACAGGAGTTTACTGCCTAAATAATGACAAATATGTTCATTTTTCCCTAGCTGCAGTCTTCATGCTGTTAAAAACATATTGTTTCTTGCACCTATTCTCAAGGTGATTTACAAACACTTTATCTCTTTGTCAAACCAAACCGATTTTTTTAAATTGAGGGCTTAATAGAAGCTCCTCATCAATCACCTAGAACATTCATTATTTACCAGTTTAAAACTTCTATTCATTTTCTGTTCTCTAAGACTGAAGGATTTGCATTTTTTGTGTACTGGGGCCTTTTACATAAATCAAGCGATTCTGCTGTTGCCTGCTGTTGCAAAGATATCAAATGCTGGACAAAATGACATGGCATGGCTGTTTATGAGTTTGATAAACTGATTCTTAATAATACCAGATGCTGGTGTATAAATGCAGTCCAAAAATACATCTAACTGGTGCTTCGTTGGGCACTATTTTTCCTCACATCTATCACCAGGTCTTCTGTAAGCAGCAGAAACAGTACATTAGAAAAGGCAGACTTTCCCCTTGGCATTACTGGACCTAAAGCAAGACTCTGATTGCCTGCTATCCTCACACTCTCTTCCAGAGCTCCCTTATCCAGACAGGTTCTGCCCATCCTTCCCAGTGCACAATACGGACAGGTGGTCCTCTCTGAAGACCTAACTATCGCTTTCCCACCTCGCTTAAACAGCATTAACACAATCTATTCACATAAATACACAGCTGCCGAGTGACAAATTAAAATGTCAACATGATCTGCTTTGGAAGAATGTGCCACGGTGCTTGTTTTTTGGGGGGGAGGGTGTGGGTGGCAATGTGACTAAAGATGGTGTTTAGTCTGACAGCGTTTCCAATCGGACCAGGCTGACCGATGGTGCTTTCTGACCAATATCAAGAAGCTCTGGTAAAGGCAATTTCCACTTCTACAGGGTGTTACATATCTCAGTACCGATCCCTCACAGCCATAACCCCTTGGTGGTGAAAAGGCACGTCTCATGTAGGCAAACACAGAAATTCACTGTCCTACACTCAGTGAGGTAACTGCCTATCCTGATGCTGTGATGAGCGCTGGTTCCCCGGAGTCTCACCTGACACCTGCGACTCCCCGAGGCCCTGACTGGCGCTGGCAGTGGACGCCTCTCGGGCTACTTCCACGGGTGGCGGGGGCGAGGTCTTCTCGACCAGCACTGCGGAGCCAGAGCGACAGAGCACCGGTGTCAGTCAGAGGAAGCCGTGCCAGGCGTCGCTGGCAGTGAAAGCCAAACCACACTGCCGCGTCACCGTACGCCCGCCGTCCCCGGAGAGCAAGGACTGACGGGTGGGGGTCAAAGCAGTACACACAACCAAGGACGCAAAGGACCAAGGAGGGGGCCGGGAGCTGGGTACATACTGTACCCACACCTGGCTGCAAGGAGCAGCAGGGCTCACAGAAGGAATGAAGCAGAAGCACGCTGGAGTATGGATTTGTGACTAGAATACGGTTTTGTTGATGTCCGATTCGTAATACGTTTCACACTTTGTTGTACAACCGCTGAGTTATAACATGCTGGACTGTTTCGATATGGTGTAGCAAAACAGAAAATACTATGCAGACAAGGAAAAGCAGATGCCTTTACAAGGATAAGGGAGTTAAGTTTAAAATCTGAACTCAAATTAGAGGCTTTTAGACACTTTACAGTGTTAGCCTTCTACCCTTAAGCTTTTATCACTGTAAATTGAATTAAATGTCCAATTTATCATTTCAATGAAGATCGAAGAAGAACCGTGATTAATGCTTAATTAGTACAGTGTGTTCACCCTATTGTAATCTGCAGTCAAGAGCCATAAACTACTTACCACTTTGTCAGCTTTCATAATCACACACGTACAAGTCTGTCGCAACACAGTGAAATAAGAAACTGTTGCTCCAGATGAGTCCGAACATGCTAACTAAAACATTTTGTGTGTGGAAAGGTATGTTTTACTTCTGATACCCCATTTAATGTTTTTAAAATACATTTAAAGATAAGAATACATTTTAGAGATAAGAGAAGGAATCCGATTTTCTGGGCTATGATGAACTCTTATCAAAGATCCACGTCAGTACGTCAGTTGTGTGATGGGAGATAAACATCCCACTAACAATCACAATGGAGTCCATGGCCATGGCAGAAGAAACAGCAGAGCCTGCATAACACACAGCTTTAAATGGAAACTAAGCAAAAACAACCCAAGGGAAAGCTTTTGTGGAACAGACAAGCTACTGGTTTGAGTTAGTTTTTCAAAAAATATCAAATTATTGGAATGTAATTGGGGGACCAGAAAGATGACTGGGGATCATGGGGTCAGGTGGAAGCCCTAACTGTAACACTGGCTCACAATCTTATTGGCTCAGTGTTGTTTGTGCCCTCCGATAATGACCTGACGGACAGATTTCAAAATGACAGCAACCAGTCCAACAGGTAACAGTGACACTTAGTGTCAGACTACTCTTGTTCAAGGCCTGCCTTCTGTAAACTGCCTTCAGCTTGAATCATGTCAGTGCTACAGCTCTCCATCTGCTCACACTCACTGGGGTAATTCGATCTGCTAATTGTCAGAAATCGTGCGGCCTTTTTTATAGACATATTCCCTTGTATTTCGTACCCAAAGGAAACAGATCAGCCACTGTATGTAGAGAGCTGCAGGAATAACAGCGATACTGATGACCTCAAGCTGAGTGAGCAGGAAACAGCTCACAGTACTTCAGATCTGATCATTTTACATAAATAAACTATACACCCTCATTTATATAAACGAAAGTTTTACATTTAGAAAAAACACAGGCACCAATACAATGAGATGAGCTCTGCCAGTCCTCTGGTGAATCAAGAGTGTGTGGCTGAGAGAGAGAGAGCTGTTCTGTAATGAGAAGAAAAGATTAGCCACCTGGAAAGCTGGGATCCAGACTGATGGTTGAAATGCCAGGAGACAACTGGGGTTGGCCAGGTTCTACAACTGATCTATTATCGAAACCAAGAGTAACAAGCTCCTAAATAAAAAAGAGAAGATAAGACAGCAAATTGAGAATTTTGCTCAACAAAAGAGCCTATCTGAACAGTTCACAATCAGAGAAAAGACTCCGCACAGACAAAGGCAGTTCATGCTTGTTGAGCTTGCACCCAGTACCCAGGGTAACACCCCACTACGTCTACGGACAGCAGTGTGAGCACAGCCCAGCCTAGCGTGGAAGGAAAGGAAACAGAAGGGTTCATTTACAGGGTTAGTTTAAGGAGATTTTCTTATGGACTACTTCGGCCTGAAATGTTTGTACCTCCCACTTGAACCAATTCAGGGTCGCAGGGGAGCTGGAGCCAATCCTACCAAGCAATGGGTGCCAGGCAGGATACTCCATTGATGGGAAGATATTCCAGACACAGACACAGACACAGACATGCACACACTCACACCAGAGCCAGTTTGCCCAGAAGCCAACTAAGCTACCAGTATACTTTGTGGGAGAAAGCCCACGCAAACAAGGGGAGAACATCCGGAATTGAACCCAGGATCCCAGCTCTGTGAGGCAACAATGCGAACCATGCCACCTGTTTCTATCAGAGTGGCAAATAATCACTCAACCAATTGGTTCTCTGGCTTTTTTGTTTGCCTTGGAGCCCAAAATGCATAGCCTGCACACATCCCTGATTCGGCCCTGGGATATTCCATTAGCTACAGTAGCTGTGGCCAGTATTCCTCAGGTGCTGGTGGACAGTGGGTCAAGAGTCATCAGATGGGCTCTGGGCATGGCCAGGTGTGCATGAGCTTTCAGCGTCCTCCACAATCATTTTTAATTCCTTATTTTTATAATTTTCTTGTGGTTTGAAAGTGAATGTGAAAAAGGTGCCAAACGATTCAAAAATAATGCAAACAATTACAACAGCTCAACAGCTCAACTTGGGCACCACAACCCCTGGACCTGCCTGCCTGGTAGTGAGGACAAATGCCCACTTTCCTGTGAGATGCTCGTCCTCTCCTGAGAACACTAAGGTTCATACAGTGCCCACAGCAGAGATGGCGCCAGCTGGAAGAGCCATGCAGCTCCTGCTCAGTGGTTCTGCGTGACTTTTGTTTGTCTTAAAACTGGTTCTGACTTTAAACATCCTGCAAATGTCGTTTTTGGTAGAACTGTGTTGGAGGTGTGAATTGAGTGAACTGTATGCAGCTGCATTTACACCTACAGTATAAACAATTCATTCTGATGAATGAGAACGCTTTTTGCCACATGGATTCTGTAGCTGGCAACATTTCAGTTTCAAAATTGACGGCACATTTTGAATTTGGATTAAAAAAATGAATTTGACCTTTTCAACTCTTAGCGGAGTCTTAGTGGAAACTGTAAACAAGACAAGAGGCATTTCAATTACCAGAACAAAGACAGTCTCTCACTACCTGTTTATTTAAATAGTGCAGTGCAGCAAGTGGAATAGAATTCATTTCATACACTAAACTAAATCACTGTACCACCAAGAAACAATAGAGGTTTTGATTTTTTTTTAAAGAAATACCAGCCCAAAACAAAAGGAACCGTACACTAGAAATTAATATTGTGTGAATTTAGACTATGCTGCTGGGGAGAGTCTCAGGAGCCTTAACATTTTGAACAGCATTTATCACCACAAGAGCAAAGATTATTCTAAATTATACAACAATGTAATTACAATGAAAAACGTCCTGCCAGAGACATTTGCTGTATTTCACTCAGTCAGCCTCACAGTTCCCACAGCATGTGCAGGAGGAGTGACGCAGCTCCCATTGATAATTCTGCAAATTCACTGAAAGCCAGGAGGCAGAGGACACACCGGCCAGCTCAGACACACCCAAACCCAGATGTAGGCAGTCAGTTATCCACTTGGGAAATCCCTGACACAGTCAGCTAAGAACCCAGCCTAAATCTGAACCAGGGATGTCTGAATTATAGAGATAACCCTGCCCTGCAGATAAGTCCCTTTACTGGTAGGGACGCCCATTTGGAAGCCCCAGATGACTTCTCTTCTAAATTCTGCATTTTCCCTTTCTAATGACCAGAAAGTAAAGCCCTACAGCCATCACCAATCACAATGTACCAATGCAATTACACATGCACAGGAAAACATCATGCAGAAATAATGCCGACTTTACATGCAACGGGTGCATCATATAGCTACTGCATGCCATTGTCACAGTCTCCGCTATTACATGCAAAAGCTCTGGAGCTGTAACTCAGCTTATTGCACAAATGACACAACCTACCTGTTCAGGTGCTGCTGTGACTACTGTAATAAAGAGGAAAAAAATAAACTCATCCTGAGACACCTAACAGAAAAAATGCTTTTGAACTACTTCATATAAACCTATTAATGATTAACTTCAGTTTACAGTATAAACTTGGAACAGGGTGGAAAACCTACAGTTTATTTATGATTTACATGTACAGTAAGTGGACATATTCATCTGAGTTACTAAAACAATGGTACTCACTAAAAAAGAAAGGAATTGAGGGTTTGTGGAACAGTCTGAATAATTATTATGTTCATGAAGTGAAATTTTGGAAACCTCATGTTAGAAAATGCCCATCTTCTTGCATGTACCAATACTATTTAAAAGTTAGCAGTGGCATTACATCATTTGTGATGTTCTGGTATTTTCCACAGAGGTATATGTGAGCACATCCAGTGCCCGGTGAACAGGAAAGAAGAGAGATGAACAAGTAGAAGCCCATCATTTGACATATGAAAGAAACTAAATCAGGTGCTTTGATTCTTTTTTGTTTCTTTTTTATAATAAGTTGATCCACTGCAGTGCAACTACTGTGTGACTGACAGAAGGGTGTTCTGTGTACTTTTCAGACGATTCTGTCTGCTGGGTGTTGCCAAATTCCTAAGAAGACTGCCAAACAGAATCACAAAAGAAAAGCGCTTGTATTCCTTCCCAGAAAAAGGTTTTTAAATAACTCAGGGTCAAAACTCTCGAATCGATCTTGGTACATTAAATTGAAAACATGTCAAGGTGAAACACAAAATGGAGAGCTGTTCAAAATACGTCACGGCACACGGAACCTTCATCTCTTCTAAAGAGTTCATTCTCCCAGGGGGCAATGCAAGCGCAGTGTTTGAAGACGCACTAAAGCGCTGAGCAGAGACGAGAATGGCCTCAGGATGCACAACTGGGTCACCCTACTGGGAGGCAGGGCCTTTCACCAGTCAAACACATACACCTTCCTTTCAAGCAGAAAAACCCGAGCTGGGAACAAACGCTTTGAGGAAATATTTGCTACCTCCCGTTCTAGCGTCGTGCTCGTTTAAAGCTGCGAACGCTCAGTGAAAGCAGGGTCAGAAACTGCTCGGCAGCCCCCTTCGGAGACGGCTCTGTGCCAACACGCCGGCCAGGGGAGTCTCTCCAGCCCCTGTTCCCTCACCTTCTCCTGCTGCAGGCTCCGAGCGGAGCCTCTCTGTGGAGCTCAAGGCCTCCACTGGCCTGGGCTGCGTGGGCAGAGGGGCAGGGGGGGGCAGGGGGATCGTCTGGCCCACGGCGGTCTTGGTGCCGGAGTCAGGCTGGTGTCTGTGGCTGGGATTTCTGTAGGTGCCTGTGACTGTGTAACCCATCCCACCAGGGCAGATCTCCTTGAAGGCCGCTACACAATCAAAACAGGAAAGATATCTGAGGAAACGCAAGGCTCACGAGCCACTGTTGGAGGTGCGCTCATTTTCTCTAGGGCTGAGAGAGCACACTGACACCGACTAAATCTGTGAAGACGCAGCAGGTAAAAACTGGATTCTGTAAAAATGCCAGTAAAAAAATGCAGGGTGTGTTTGCTTATGTATTCAAATTAAAAAAAAATTAAAAGATGTTTTTGATTTTATGAAAATATGAGTTCATATTCTCAAATTAAGATCAAGCGCACGTTGTTTTGACACTATCATGGTATCTACCCTGAACCTGCAGTGGCTGTATTTAATCACATGGCAATTTCGCCTGTCCAGTGTGTCAGGTTAAGTGGCTGTGAATGCACACATGATTTCTGTGGGATCTCCCTCTTGCCTCCTCTTAAAAAGCAGCAACAATGGTTTGACAGATAAACACAGTAAGGTACAAGGGAATGTATAGGAAACTAAGCCAGATCCTAAAACCACAATCTTAAACCTACCGGAGAAAGATAAAGAATTCATTAAAGCACACTAAGCATGAAATAGCTGAGATTTTAGCAATCAAGACAGGCCTTCTTGAGAGTCCCACAGCACTTTAAGTGCTATTGTCAGACCAGTCAAGCAAGCAAACAAAGGATATGTTAAGTGAATATGTTCAGTTCTGGAAAGGATCAGGGAAAATGTGGTGAAGACGCCTCTGCGGAGCCACAGGTTTCTGAGTAATTGTTGCCTGCACATTGCACAAGCTTCAATTAAGGAGCATTCCACCTGCTGTTATAATCCAAAAAAGCAAACTTGCATCCTCAGACATTCACATTCCAAAGTTCTGCGAAGGTCAAAGCATGGCGGAGGAACTGAACAGGAAAGAGATTTAAGAAAATCGCAGTGATGGAGAGCAGGAACACATTATTCTATTGTATGTATGTGTTTTGTCAGGTATGTGTTGTCTGAACAGGACACGCTCATTTTAAGAAATGCATCCTAAATGATTTGCTGTGTGTAATTTTATAATATTTACAACATTGTGTATGCATTTTATTGCTTACATTTTGTGTAAACATCTTTGTTTAAGAAAAAAATCAGTGCTCCTTAACATGTGCTTAAATATGGTATTTATTGTCCTTAATTTAGACTTTTCCCATATTTATCATGCTGGAATTTATACTTTGAATTGAAATTTAAGTTATTGGAGTTTCACATGATGCACTTTATTCTGCAGGTGAGCTCAGTCTCTAATCTCATTAAGATATAAAACTCTCCACAGGTGAAAAAGAACATGGAATACTGTCCTGTCATGTTTTACAAAGGTCGGCTAAGAAAATTGTACAAGAAAAGGCAGTAATGTCTTCAGACCCTGAAGGGCAGCATTCGTTTTGACAAAGAAACTATAACATGTCAATAATGAACTGATTTTAACCCTGAGTGTGTTGAAAATCAGCACTAAGAATCGATGTGGTTTCAAGAAAAATCACATACAGCATTTTTAAGATGAAAATAACTATATAATAAATTTAAAATGCCCCTTTGTTACTAATTATACAGTTTGAATAAGTTTGTTTTACAATCCTTGTAATGTCTTTTATTTAACTTTTCAAATAATTTGAAAGAACAAAGTGTTTTGTTTTAGAAAAAAACAAATAATGGCTATATTTAATGCTTACATTTACCCAAATAACTTTATTTGTAATTTTCAAATGGGGGCAGCAATATCAGCTTGTATACAGTACAATGATAATTCCCTGTGATACATCTGAACCTTATAGCAAGAAAGCCATCCCACTAAAGGTTTTCGCTGCACAGAAAGTCTTGGCATCACACCACCTTCCTAATCCTACCTGTCTGCTCAAGTTTATTTCCCAATTAAGAAAGCAAATGGCCTTCTGGGTCTGGAAACACCCTAAAAAACAAACTTACTGAGTAATCTCTCCTTTCATACAGACCAATTAATGAATACTAGCTGCTGTTCTTAATAAGAGAGTGAGTGAAACAGTCCAGGAATGTGTCAAAGCACACAAACAACAGAAGTCTGTGAAACCTTTTAAAGCTCTTTAAGTGGTTCAAGGTCATTCACAGACTGAAAGACACCAAATGGAAGTGTATGTGAATGAATCACTGACTTTAATGTCACCTTTTGCTAACATGAGTTGATTTCTAATCTGCTGTGAGTATTGTGTCCTTCTCCATTACCCTCATACCCTCATATCCGATTCCCTTCACAATAAGCATTGCAGGGATGAGCTGTGATTGACATTCTATAAGCAATCCCATCACTGTGACCACCTGTGGGGTTCCCAACAAAGACAACAACATGAAATACTCGTTATCTCCTTGGTACATTCTTTGTTCAACAGTTTGCTATACCGTTTATGAGTGCATAAAACCCCTGGCATGACTCCAATAACTACCCACAAATTAGTAAGTGGGACAGTCATGCCCACTAGCTACACTAATGTACCAAAAGATTAGGCAATAGCTCTCGGAGCGTTCCAAAAAATCATCTTTGTCTGGAGACGACCATCCGTGAAAGAGCAGTTTATTTCAAGTTGATGCAATCAAGGAAAAAATTAATATGACATGGACATAATTTACCACAGTCAGCAACAACTTAGCAGAATGGCAGAGCATGCAGCGAGGAAGATGTGCATAGAGTATGAATTAAAGACAGTGAATCGGGACACTGCAGGTGTGTTTCTGAAGCTCTGTTTCTCTTTCTGGTGTTGTTTGCGGGTCGATGGCTTTGTTCTGGGGCTGCGCTTACCTGTTCCGGGAATGGGACATTTGTCACAGTGAGGCCCCCAGGCCTTGCCAACGCTGCAACAGCAGAGCTGCTTGCTGAGCTGCACAGACACTGGGTGCATGCACTGCTTTCCAGCACTGACAAATCGGAAACAAGGGCCTTTCTCCTCATGGACCATAGGAGTATCGGCTGCAGTGAGGAGGGAAGGCAGTACGCCAGGTTGTTACACATGTAAGAAAAAACGCAGCAAGAAATCAAATAAGAAACAAGTTCCCGACACCAGAATCCCCCCTCCCCCCCCTCACCCCACCAAAAAAAGCAGATTGGACTAGATTTTTAGTTACGCTCTCAAAAATATTTTAAGAAGAGCAAACCACCCCACATAGCCTTGGGAGTGAGACCACTTCCGTTCACTTTTCTCAAATATATTTTTGAAACTCAGAGAAGGAAATATAAAAGCTACACAAAGAAGCGAATCCCCTAAATGTAAGGACTTGAGAGTCCCGCTCTTGAGGAATTTAGTGGAATTCCGACTACACCCAGCAAACAGTGCTTAGTTCATGCAAGGAGACAGAGAGGTCACTGTATTGCATGCATTGGCTGTGCAGCAGAAATATAGAGCCCTGTGAAGCAGAGATGGTCCATATAAAGATGTAGAATAATACTGCTTCAGTGTTCTTTGAAGAATCGATACTGAAGCAATACAACAACACATCATTATATGAATGGCAGAAGTGCTGGGCTCTTAAAGGGACAAAGGCAGAGCTCACGATGTCACTAATCTGGGAGGTGAATCCTGGTGGCTTTCAAAGTATTTGGAAGAAGGCATCATCTGCTGGTAATACACACCACTGTATGTTGCAGACCTGGACATCACCCAGTTTAACATTTTCTCTGTTTGCATGTCTTAATCATGGAAGGCCTGGAATTTAAGACCAGGCCAGATGCTGCAACTGGAGTCTGATGAAACCAAAAAGTTTTCGACACCAGCAGATATTTACAGATAACTAACATACGCTTTTGATCATGAAATGATGCTAGAAACATGTTTGTTAAAAAAAAAACATCAATGCATCTCTTTTCAACATTGGGAAATGAATATGTTCTAGGATACTGAAAGAACAAATTTAGTTTTGTTCCGATCAAGACAAACTGCATATTTACAGTAAGACTGCATGGCTGAGCTTGCTGGAAACAGATGAGAGAAGGAAGGAGAGTGACTGGTTCTGAAACGGGTCCAATCAGCACTGAATCATTCTAAATTGTGATTCTTGTACACTATTCTGTCTTGAGGACCATGCATTGCAGCTGTAATGAGGACATGTTTTTAGTGTAAACCAAGGTCTGAGACCACAATGTCTCCTGTTCACATTTACTTATAATGGACTTTAATAGCACAGAAGGTCAAAGCAGAAGAGAGATACTTTAATAATTTTACAAAATAGTCAGTAAGACTTCTGGACCTCCTGGTGATTTTTGTGTTCTGAACAACAAAATCTCCATATTAAAGCTCTTTGACGAATGGCCCTACTGTAAAGATTAGGGAAGGAGTATTTTCCAGTACTCTGTTGAATCAGATTTTCGGTTGTTGTAAAGTTACTACACTGTATGTCAATACATGAATGCATTTCTAATTCATATACCACAAGAGTACCGGTGACTTAATTACACCCCCCAGCTTTCCAAACCCTAGCTTCCTGGATTCATGGTTTTCAAATGCACCCATTGTCATTGTCAATTTTATTTTCTTAGTCATATTTTCGTCTGATTATTTGGACAAATTTTAATTTGAGCAAACATTTATAACAAAACAATTATGTAAAATATATGCTTAAAATTAATACACAAAGATTAGCTAAACATGTATGAAGTTATTATTAGTTTACATGTATAAAGAAAAATGGGTTTCCTGCTCTAAACCTGCCAATACTCTCCTTACTGTATGTCTATCTGTATGACAAAATAAGAAAAGCGTGTATTCTGTATACAGTATATTCCATCTTACTACATTCTATGGATTGGAAACCTGTGTTGAATACACAAAAAGGAAATAAAGCATAAGAGATTTTAAAAGTACTATTCTGAGACGTTCCACAAGCTGTTGTCCAATTATCAGAATGGTAAGAGTTTGCAGTATTACTGTCTTGCCAAAAAAACTTTTGACAAATGGGAGAAAGTGTTCAACTGAGTAGATGTGTCCTTGAAACGGCCAGGAAAATGGTGATGGGACCTCATTGCTTAACATCTTCGACATGCGGGAAATTGTGCATGACAACCAGCAATCACTCTCACACCCAGAGCCCACCAGCTCTGGATCGCCGCCAAGGCCACCCGTTCTTACTGCTGCCCCTTCTTCACACTGCTCGGGCTCGCGACGTTTGACATGCTTACGGACAGGGCTGAGAAAAACCGAGGCTCAGAAAAAAAAGCTGTGCTTTCTCCCCCCTCTGCGAGCACATCAACAAGGGACTGCTGAGAAGGGAAAGGCCTTTTCTGAGCAAACCTCTATAATTTCTGGTTTAAGGAAAGAAAACAAACATTCCAGCTGCAACCAGAGCCAGGCCTTGTGTGGAAGCCCACGCATTCAGAATGACACTGCGCGACTAGACCGATGCGGCGAGCTCTCCGCGAACAGTGGCAATCTGGCAAACGCAAGTTTCCTGTACAGTAAGTCCATGCGCATTCCCGTTAATCAGGGCACCAAAGGCCGTGAGCAAACAGCCGCAGGCGGCTCTCCGTCAAACATTTCAGAACCACAACTTGCGCAGACGAGACCGAGCTCTTGCTTGAATTTCAGTCCGCCATTAAAATAGCAGCCCACGGGTTAAGATGAAAAACAAATGAGACTGGTCTGTCAAAACTCATCAGTCACATCAGGCATCCATGCAGGGCAGGCAAGGCAATATGATTCTGCACTGAGTTAAACATGTAAGAGGCAGAAATCTCTCCAGGTCTAGGTAGATTTAATAATGTACTGTACCCTTGCTACACGGACAGAGCAACTACATTACTTGTCCTCAGGGAAAGCTCAGAACCCCTTATTATATTTACACTTGATAAATGACCTCTCTATTATTATTAGGAATAAGATAAATTGAACATGGTTTACCAATACATTTAAAGTTAAATCTTATTAGGAGCCATTACCCCTGATTTTTTCTAACAGTGTGGTTTGCATTCAGACTATTTGCCCTAAATTCTTTATTTAAAAGGTCTGCTGGCACAGCTTGTGTTATCCCAATTTCAGCTTCAGCTTTGCAAACCAAGAGGCTATTCGGGTGGTGTACTGTCTCGTAGAGCACAGCTAGAGATGCAATGCAATAATAATGAATAATTAATTAATTAATAATTGCTTATACTTATAGAGCACTTTTCTGGACACTGCACTCATAGCGCTTTACAGGTAATGGGGTCTCCCCTGCACAACCACCAGTGTGCAGCCCCGCCTGGATGATGCGACAGTACTCTCCCCACACACCAGCTCTCAGTGGGGAGGAGGGCAGAGTGATGAAGCCAGTTCAGAGAGGGGGATTATTAGGAGGCCATGACTGGTAAGGGCCAATGGGAAACCCCAGCCTTCCCCCTTCTGTCAGTCTGTCCTTACCTGGGGACACCTGCTGTACGGGGCGACCCTGATGAAATGCATCTGTTGACCTCAGAATCCTACAGTCTGTGTAACTCTCAGTTAATTACACACTGCCACTCCTACCTTACTCTTCACTTGAAAGGCTGTGTTCGTGACACCACTGGGCACAGAATAGTCATGAATTCTTTAAGAACACTTAAAGTGATTTATCTCACGGGGTGTGTGGAACACAAACCAAGACAGCAAAGGCAGGAAGGAATGGCACACTGGAGCCTGGGCTCTCCGCACAGTTACTTACGAATACAAGTGCTGAGCGTGGGGTCTGGCCTGAAGCCCGCCTTACAGAAACACCTGTAGCTGCCGATGGTGTTCAGGCATTCTCCGTTCGGACAGACTCCCTGGAGCTGGCACTCGTTGATATCTGAAAACAGCACCACAGACCAGAACAAGG